CATCTTCCACCTGCAGGTTTCTCCATCTCATCATGCTGTCCACCCAACACTCATTCTTGGCACAGAACTCTCTGGCTCTCCGTTATAATCTTTTTGTTGTACTTTTAGTCCTAGAATTTCCTCTGTTAGCAAGTTTCTAATCCAAGGCCATACTTTCAGCTGGCTACACGTCCACTATAGTCTCTCAGAGGAACTTAGAAAAGGCTATTTGAAAAATCCCAGAACAGGCTTAATGGAGTTTGGGGGGGCCTTTTGTTTTTCACTAGATAGAGATAGTTGTTATCATCTTCCAGTCAGCTGGTTTTAGGGTATCCGACGCAGTATCTCAGCTGCTCTTTTCTTACGCTCCTTCAAAACACCAAAATGAATGCCACACAAACAGGGATTTGGTTCACTTTTCAGTTTGCTCAATAACCTAACACTTTACAGGACTTCCATCCCTGACTTTCTGCAAGACTTGCAACATACCAAATCTCTGATGATAGCCCTTTGCTGTTTGTAGGGCTACACTGCAGGTAGCATGATTATTGAACAGGCGTAAATTTTGTTGGTTTTTTTTCCCCAAAAAACATGCAGAAGCAGGTAAGAAGCACTACAGAACAATAAAGATAATATAAATCAGATAATTAAGCAGAAGCTCTCAGGATGTCACTGAAGGCTCATAAAAAGCCAATTGATCACAATGAGATCTTATTTTGCTCGCAGCATCTTGTTTGCTTTTTTGAGAGGTTATGGTTAACTAGGGAGTTTCCTTTTCCCCTGCCACAAGAGTGGTCTTAAAGAATTTGAACCATTAGGTCCAGAAGACTAAATACAGAAGCAGCACAAGAGGCAAAACTCTTTGTGGGGAAAAAAGGAAGGCAACAGCTTGAAAATGTGGGTTGGAGACAGTAGGGAGAGCAGTAGACAAAGAATCAGGTTACAGTTACTTGTTATCTGAAAATGTAAGAGGAAATAAGGGAGAGAGTTAGGATGGACACATTAAATTGAAATTTAGTTGTTCTGTAGTATCTTCTTTTCAAAAATCATCTTTTTTTTCTGTCATTACTATGTAGCACCCAGGAACTCACTGGAATCATGCAGACTTTTTTCAATGTTTTTGATGGGGTTTGTTTTGTCTCTACAAAATAACGTATGGTTTACTATTTTCCTCCCAGTCAGTTGATACTGAAGGTATTGAATTTTCTCAGTATCTCATCTGCTGCCGTCTTGTGACACCTGTGTCAAAATCATAACAGTAAAATGTACAAGTGCATCACGCAGGCAAGAACAAGGGACTGGGAAGACTTGTGCAGTCGTAAGCGAACAGAGCTGCTGGAAGAGCAAGGAATGGGGCAGGCAAGTCTGCTGTCCATCAGGTGCTTGCTCCACACGCTCCTTCCCCTCGTTCAAGATGTGGCTACTCACCTTTATCCACTGATAGGTGCTACAAGGTGCCACAAGGTAAGAGCAGAGATGAAGCTAACTACTACGGAATAAGCAAAGATGCTATCAATATGATAACCATTCACCTGCTCAACCCCAAGCAGCAATCTTGCACAAATACAATCTGAAAGGTTTGCCCAGCCTCAGCCTTAAGCTTCCTGAAGCCATACTACAAGCACAGTCACTTTTGAAGACGAGAGACAGAAGTACAAAAGATCAGGGTTTATATTTAAATTTACAGTACAGGCTCTTTAATACTGACATTTTTACAGGTCTTTTGGGTTGCACTGTTCATATGGCATGCTTGTGCATTTGACAGTATCCTACACCTACTCAATTTAAGTAAGCTCATTTCAGAAAAGGGATGAAGGCAGAGATAAACTATAAATACAGCTAGAAGAATTGCATCGACTGAACATTTTCTTTGTAATTGGAAGTATAGTTGAAAGTGGGACAGGAAATAGCAGAAAGCACCTAAAAAAAGTTGTGGTTTAAAAGTGCAAGCATCAGGGACAATGCGAGGACTGTATCCTCTCAGCTTGAAGTGGCAGATAAGGCTGAATGAAAGGCAGGGGTAATTTACCCAGACTTCGGGAACGCGGTTGCACAAAGAGCTGGCCCATGAGGTGAGACAAAATTCTTGACTGCACAAAGGAGCAGCTTGGGGCAAGCCTTGCAGCTGCCTCAGAAGGAATGCACACTTTCTGTAGGTATTAAAATCTGCTGAAACAGGTGAAAGGGGGAAGTAAATAAAGACTTAATTCATAGCCAGTTACATAGACTAAGAATATAGGAAAGTAAATGACTTAGCATAGGGGAAGTTTGAGGCAATAGGTCCTGCAAAAAGGGATGAAAAGGTCACAGCAATTACGTACAGCCTTTTGGATAAAAGAATCCACTGCCGAGTCTCTGGATGTACTTCCAGCAATGCTAAGACGTTGCCTCCAGCTGCTGGATGACAGCACGTCCTGGACTTGTAAGTATTCATTGTTAGGATGTACACTTCGCGTTTTGGGAAACATTGCTTTAGAACACGCTCCAGTGCCATTACCCCCCAGACCCTCTCCCTTCTCCCAGGGGTCACCATCAACACATAAAAGACAGCTTTGAGGAAGGAAGGCCCATATTCATTCTTAAAGAACTTTAAGCGGATCAGATCAGGCTTTTCCGGTGGTTACTCAACCACGGTGGCCTGGAAAGGATCCAGTTCCAGCCGACAGAGGTATCAAAATTCCCAAGTGTGGCTTCTTAGGAGCAGGCTACAGTCACAACACGACAAGACAGACAGACAGACAACGGTGAGCCTTTTCAGGCTTTCATCCCAGTATGCACTATGCTTCTGCATTACCAGTTTCAGCCTTGGCATATCTGTTGGTTTTTGTTTTGCTCTTATTCCAGCTTTAGTCATGTTTGCATTTTTAATGCAAATGTGTGCTGACCATTTACCTCCAAACTGTCAATAAAGTGCCAAAACTGACCAGCTGCATTTGGGCTCATTTCCACTCAAGCTTGAGACAGTCTCACACATAAGAAAGCACCCCTGGCACAGAAGATGGGTTTCCCAGTGTGGCACGCGAAGCCTGGAGAAGTTCTGGCTGCCTCATTCTCCAGAGAACAAAGCAGCAGGACAGAGGGCAAGGCAAAACAAAGATCTGCACTGGCCCAAGAGGCACACCTGCCTCCTCTTCTTTTGGTGAAGCAGTTGGGAGATTGTCACTCTGGGAGCGGCACAGCACGGAGAAATAATGCAGGACAAGTGCGATGAAGGCTGTGTTAGTCTGGCACAAGATAAGATGCACTGAAGGACGTGAACTCAAGCACTCAGTAGAACACCAAGCACTAAACTTAGAGGCCTTCTCCACTCTGTTGGCTCCTTTTTTGTACACCTATATGCCACTTTTTAAAAGAGATCTCATTACCAATACCAACCAATCTAAAAAAAGACCCAAAACACATACCTAACTTCTTTCTGTTCTAAATACCTGAATCATGGAATATTTTTCGAGATCCTACACATTATTGTTCAGAGGAAAAGAGAAAAGAAGCTGTGTAAGTGACTCGCTTGGCAGTGTTTTATTAAAAGAAAGAACCTCTAGAAATGACCAGATGATGCAGAGGTAAAGCCACCTACAAAACAAGACAAATTAGCATCACCCACTGATTTTTGATCCTGGTGGCACTAGAGGCAAACTGGGAAGGGCTTTAGGGCAACTTTGTACTCACAGATTGTAAGCATGAAGAAAGTTAGAAGCAGAAAGAAAGAATTAAAAGATAGAGAGTAAAGCAAGTTCCTTCTCTCTCCTTTATTTTACAAATTTCTTCTACTATGGTGCAAATCCAGAGCATTGATTCTAATACTGTTTTACTGGATTTCCATTTGTTTTGCCTGGGCTCCTACATTAATCCAAACAATAAGGGCCTTTAAAGCATTCATAAATAACCTGCTGCTGCTGCTGGCACCTAGGAGCCAAGTGCAGCGATGTTAAGCAACAACAAATTTCATAGTTCAAGAGGCACAGTTAAGAAAAAAGGTTGCTCAGAAAATCACTCTCATTTAGCACAAAGATCCTTAAAAATTGCATGAAATCAGTCAAGTAACTATAGAAACCAATTTTTTCAGCTCTGTATCACACGTCTCACACCTCAATTGTCTTTATTATCGTCTGCTGTCAGATCCTTAATCAGAAATGTGAACAGGCTTGATGATTTATTCAGCAGGGAAAATAATCTGTAGGTCAAGTGAAAAATTTCACACACGCACACACGCACGCACGCACATCTTCAACCTTAGGTACTTTCATTTCATTCTGTTCCCAGTAGCTCTGGGGGCAACTCCAGTGAGATCCAATATTAAGGCTCAATTAAAATAAGCTCCAATTAGTGGAGCTTTTTTCTCTCAGGCTAGAAAAGTCAGGAAATGGATATTGGGAAATGTAAAAAGTCAGCTACTGAGAGGAGGCTGCAGACATAAATGAACTTATTTGTTGATTTCTACAGTTGCTATGCAGAGGCCTCTGGGAGTAAAAGCTTAACCAGTCTAAGCTATAAACTAAAACCCCTGCAGCTAAACATGAACTGTGTGAAACAAGGGCTCCATTCCAGAACAGAAAACTGCTGGGCCCAGAAAATTAAAAGCCAGAGGCGTTTTCCATTTAAAACTAAATCCCAGTACCGCCTCCCAGCCAAAGAATTATAAGCAGTATCAGATTTACAAAACGAACAATTACCCTGGAAAAATGTAGCCTATTGTACAGTCCCAGATGCTAAATCTCAAAGTTGTTTTTTTTTTTTTTTCTAATCCCACATTATATTCCTACTACCAAGTGTACTGCTGCAGTTTACAAAGGACCGTTTCTAGACAGGACTGAAACTACAAAAATAAAATGTTAAAAAAGAGAGCTCATAATTCATTGACCTCATTTGAAGCACTGCCCTTGCCTGTGGCAGTTCCTGTCCTTCCCCAAGGCCTCTGCAAATGGTATGCAGCAGCAAAATAAACCCTGACCTAATTGCCAGGACAGGGCTGCCAACCTTCTCTCAACACAAAGGCAAGCATGGTAACTGGAAAGTCCTACCTCTTTCGCTTTCTGCTTTAACCGCAGTTGCTCTGGATCTTCTTTATTGGAACGGCTCTACCAAAGGAAGAAGAAAAAGACTGAGTAGAAATTACTGGCATCCAAACACCATCGTATCCGTTAAATATTTAATAAATGACAATTTTCTCTGGTGATTTCAAGATTTAGCTCCAGGGGTGAATGCCTCAATCCAGACTGGCTTCCCTCCCCCTCCACGCACATACGTGCACCCCCCTCCTCATCTGGGCCGGCTGCCTCTGCTCTAGCCTGAAGCAAAATTAAGCTGAAAATGATGCTAACACTGTCAGTCAGGTCCAGTCTAGGCATGATGTTGTTCATGTCAGCAGCAGACACTTAAAAAGGACAGGAAGTATAGGAAAGAAAGGGGGTCGTACTCGTGCAAGTACAACACGATTCTTTCAAGTCTAGATTAGGCTTCCACCCAAGGGGCTCCAGAATTCAGCTTGAAACAAAACAAAAAACCCAACAAACAGAAGATGATCAAGATGATCACATCTGATGGAGCAACATCTACTGGACTTGTTTTTTTTGCTCCTGTTCTTGAGGGGAGGGGGAAGAAGGGTACTTATTCTGTACTAGCAGTGGCTCCATCAGGAGTTTGCAGATGCTAGGGTACCAGCCCCAAAGCTAGCCCTCTGATCTGACTACAGGAAACATACATCTGGCAGGGTGGTGGATCTCGCCAGGCTCCAGCTTGAACAAGCATAGTGAACTCATATTTTCAAACAGTGCCATATACAGATATGGAGAAAGACATACCAATTTCAGAGCCAGAAATAGAGCCAGGAAGGACATTTACAGTTATGTGAATACTTCTTTTATTTCATTTTGACCAGTAGGAATAATCTCAAAAGCAGAGTTCACCCCACCACGCATTTGATAGAATGTAAAAAGCTAAAATCCTTTTCTGTATAGCCTAAGCTATCCTAAACTTTACGGATTTCCAGTTACAGGGTTAATGGTTACTACATTTAAAGCAGAAATAGGAGAAACCTGAAGATGTTCACCAGTCTAAAGGACACCACTACTTCCTTGGAAAGCAAGAAGTGAAGTCCTTACCTTGGCTGCTCGAAGCAACATTTCACGTTCCTCTTCATCCTTTCTCTGCTTTTCTAGGTGATCAAGCTTTTCAAGAAATCTCAGCTGTGCTCTGGTGTCACTAGATACGATGTACCTATCACTCCCCTGGAAAGAGAAGGTTGTTATAGATAACCAGACTTTTATATACACCATTAGAGCTAATAAACCCAATGGGAACAACCTGAAAAGAACACCACTATTTTTTCAGAGCTGAAAAGTACAGGCTGTTTTAGAAAGACTTCAGGTGGTAGGTAGTCATTTACACATCTCCTCTCCACTGAAGCATGTTTCCTGGCATCTGTGACTAGTAAGAGGTTATTGAACAAGTGACTTTAACAACATCTAGTCTATATTGACTATAACAACAATGAAGTCTTTAAGTCTGAAGACTAAAATTTTATTTTAAACAGCAACTTCATATCCAGTAAACATACGTACAAGACTGTCTTCTGGACAAGTTAAGAGGGGGGGGGGAAAAAAAACCAAAAAAAACCCCAAAGCAGCAGAACATCATATCCTTTCCCCTTTAAAGAGAAAGGGTGAAGAAAAAATAAAATTTGACATTTTAAGTTTCTAGTGTTTGGTGTTCTAGTTTCAGCCATTTAAATCCAGAATTTGAAATAAGCCTCACCTGGTATTTCCAAAAAGAAGTTTTATGGAGCGGAGGGGTGGTTTAGAACTAGTTATAATGAATCTTGGGGTTGGGGAAAGTGACATAAATTATATATGGTTTATTATAGCTTTAGGAATACATACTTTTGCCTCAGTGGATGCTCTCAAGTCATAGAAAAGTTTATGTTGAAAGGTAACCTGTGGAAGTCATCTGGTCCAGCCCCCTGTGCAAAACTGGGCCAGTGAATACTAATAAATAGTTCCAACAATAACTGGACACACATGCATTGAAACAAGACTACAGTCCTTTTGGTCAAAAAATAACAATCAGTAGTTTATTTTTCATACTATTTTTGCCCTCACTGGAAAGTCTGAGTTTAGTTTTACTTTAGTTCGGAAAGAAGACAGAGAAAGGAAAGATTTAAAACATGGTCAGCTGGCAATGAAAAGCTTGTTTTTACTATTCTGCTCTTCCAAAGACAGCCTATTGAAGCCATGCGTTGGCCAGAGGGCATTAGGCAAAACAAGGCAGGGAGCCTTCTAGATGAGGCACGTCTGTGCCACCTCTTTGTACCACTCCTTAATGCACGTCCTAGAGTCATCTTCTCTCTCTGTTACTTTGTGAACTTGTCTTTTCCTGAGAAATTTATCCTTGGGCTTTTACCAGCCAAACACACTATATACTTTCTTTCTACCCGACCCCAATCTCACGCTTTAATGAAGCAACCTTGACACGCAACTGTTCTGGAATAAGCACAGCATATTTTACAGCTATATTTTTTAGGCAAGGGTATATTTTAAGCATACGAACTATCAGTGACTTCAGTTGTTAAATTTTTAGTTTTCAAACACCCTATACTCAGACTCTTCTTCCCACACCCAGTCACATACTTTTAAAAGCTGGGAGGAAAGTAGAAGTCTTCTTGTGGGGCACCGTTGTCTCCCAATCTGAATTCTCACAGCCCAGCCAGAGCATGAAATCAATCCCTCTTCTGGTATTAAGTTTGGTCCTTTTCAATGAGCCACCACATTGTCATGTATCACCAACCGTGTGTGGCTCACACCACACCATGTGTTGCAACCAAGGAGACTTTCTTTCTCAAGCAGAGTCTGTGGCTCTGCAAAAAAGTCCAACAAACCTTCCCCCCCTTCTGTTACTGCTCGAGATTATTTTTTTTACTGCTCCCCACAAAAACATACACTACTTCGAGTCAGTCTCAGTACATTAGTACAATTTGTTTTGAAGCAACAGTTTATAATAATACACCACCATGCTGCAATCCTTTTAAAGGGACAAAGAAGAAAGCCATATTACCAGAAGATTATTTTTTCCAAAGTTAGAAGCATTTCGCTTTGGAATGCCTGAAGTCCGAGTTAGATACTTACATTTTTAAAGCCAAATCCAAGGCTCTATGCCAATTAGGAATGCAAACCAGAAGCACCCCAATGCACTACCAAGAGCTTACATGGGACAAGAAATGGGTGCATTCATAACAATATTTCAGTTCATCAACAACTGTTGATGATACCTTATTTCAGGTCTTTTTAGAAGAGGAACACCTGCAGTTAAATTTTGTGCTACTCAATAAACTTGTTCTCTGATCATTTAGCACTGAATTGCTGAGACAGAAAACATTATATTGTATACCTGTTCATAACTTGTAGCCATTACTGTTATGATGAAGCAAGTTGGATTCAGTTTTTGTCCATATAACAATTTAACTTCCTCACATAAGGCCAAACTGTCCCCAGCTACAACAGTGCAATCCCAACAAAACTAAAGTTACAAGTGTAATAGAGAACAGAATTTAACTTAGTGATAAATAAAGCACTTAACCACAATACAGTGTGGTTAGATTTGTATGTGCCGAAGTTGAACTTGTATATCTGACTGTTAAAAAGTAATTTTTACTTTAACTGAGCTAAATTTAACCTGGAGTTCACTTTGCTATCCTGAAAGAAGCTATTGCTTTCACACAACAATAGCACATTAGTACATCTATACAATCATGTTATGAAATTTATTCCTCCACTTTTTTTTTCTTTGAGAGAGATGTACATACTCGAGACTTCTCCACAGACACGCTCTGAAGCACAGCCAATTCCTACTAAAATTTTTACGTTAGGTTTACACACATTTGAAACATGCAGCATCGAAGCAAAGCATTCCCAGGTATGTCTTTAGTGAGAAGAGAACTGGCAACAAATTCAAGGACAGCTATATGCCTCGTCTGCGATTTGCAACTTCCTTCCTAGATTATCGCATACCTGTAAATGAGTCTGAAACCTGACTAAGGCACTTGTGGTTTAGCACCAGGAATGTATTGCATGTCCAGGGGCACAAAGGAAAAACCCACACACAGGGAAGCTGTGCTCCACTTCAGCCCACCAGGAAAGAAGTTGGAAGAATCCCACAAAGACCAGTTCTCCCATGAAATCTGAACAGTTTAAGTCATGTTCAACAGCCTTGCTGAGGACAGAGCAGGAACGCGGGCGGTTGCAAAGGCTCAGCTACACTATGTGGGAACCTATTAGGCTTTGGCTTTTATATAGTCAACCCCGAAACCAAGTTAATAACAGAAAAGCTTCTGATAAGTTAATTCTGCACTCTGCAGTTTGATGGCGGCACGGGGTGGGTAGGAGGAGGCTGGCTGTTTTCACATCGAGGAGTGCTCACTCCTTCACTACATTTAGAGCTTACCCCTTAAACCAATGCAGCTGCCACACCATATTGCCCTACAGATAGTGCAGTTTAGGGTTGCAGTGTTTTACTGCTACTGCACATGGGGAAAATGTTTTCATGGAGCAATGTTTATAGCACAGCACCATATCATGCTTCTCGAAGCCATGCGCTCGTGGGCTCCAAACACAGGCACACGGCAGTCACCTCACACTGTGCTGAATCTACCCACGTGTACGTCACTGTAATGTTTTTCAGTCACTGTAATGTTTTTCAGTCACTGTAATGTTTTTCAGTCACTGTAATGTTTTGTAGTCGCTATAATGTCTAGTTACCGTTATTAATTCTGGTCTTGGGTATCACACCATGTCACACACATACTCTTACACTTCAGCAGTCCTCCAGATTATAGGAGGGAAGCAGCTGAGGAAGCAAACAAGCTAACTAATTGCCTTTATGGTCTTACCAAGGCTCTGTAAAGGCACTGCAACAAGAGTCACAGCACAGAGAGCAGCTTACAACAATCTGAAAGGCTATTCCTACTTCAGATGAAGAGACCACCATGACAGTTTTATCCTAATTAAGTTAGTAACTTCCAATTATATACCTTTTTTTTTTTCTTTCCCTTCAGTTTAGCAAAAAAAAGGGCAAAAGTTGGTGGCATGGTATGAAGCTTTTACCCTGCCAACGCACTCTCTCTGCAGGGCCCACCCATTAGATGTAAGCTGCTAGGCATTAGCTGAGCAAACTGGGAAGAAGAGTTTCCTGAGTATGATCCCATGAATTATTGGCTTTTTACACCAACTTCTACCCTAACAATAATTACCTTGGTTTCACCACACCTATCCCTATTACTGTCCGTCTTTTTGTAATGAAGATAGGTGAATACAAAGCCTTACAGGACAATTACCCAATCCTCCTGGAAAGGCTCTGGATAATTCTCTGAAATACATGGAGCCCACATTGCACACTGGTACCCATCAATAGGCTAGAGGGAAAAGAGAACAGGGGCAAGCACTAGGGGAGACAGAACACAGGGCTCCGAAACCCTGTAGTGTTCTGTTCTTGAACTTAGATTTCTAAAAACCTGTCAGCATCTCTCACAATAATATTACTCACAAATGCAATCCTGTAGGACACTCCTCTGTAGCGTAATACCGTCTTCCTAACAAAAGAGGTTACCTGCGCTTCTAGGATTATTATGCCCATTATTTGTTTGTTTGTTTTGCTTTTGAGAAAAGAGGAAAACAAACCAAGCTTATTGCAGTCTTACAGTCTTATCATTGCTTCTGGCAATTCAATCAGACAAAAACCTATCAGTTTTTCTATTGCTTTAGTTCAATGAGAAAGAAATCAGCCCTATCAAGCCTGCCGTCCAAAAACATTCCCTTGTGCCCCTGGTGTCTGCAAGACACTAAGTCCTACTGGTTACTCAAGACTTCAGCTTCCACCTCACTTTTGCTCACGAGCTCTATTGGATCTCCCACTTTCGAGAGACAACACAGAACATGTGCAGATTTCTAAAGACTTCTCATAAAAAACACTATACCTTTTCTGTATTGATTGTTTTTCTATTGCATCTTCTTCTGGCAAAGAACACCACACTCCAACTGCTCCAGACATCACTATAAATACTTGGAAGTTTCCAAATAGTTCCTGCTCTTTACTATTGCTTCCCCAGTGCTTAAAAGCCTATAAAAAGTGTTCAGTACAAAAATAACTCCTACCCCATCAGTTAGTTGCTCTTATTAAATTTCATTAAGTATACAATTCCTGTAAGAGAAAAAAAAAAAAACAAACCCAACCAAACAAGAACTTAAGAGTTGACAGATACATCTGCTTGTAACTTTCAATTCTTTTCTAAAACAACTTGATACTGAAGAAAGTAAGGACTAATATCTTATTATTGAATGACAAAAAAAGCCTCAAAGAGCTATTTTGGCCACTAGTAAGTTATTGCTTCCCATTTGTACCATTCGAGCATAATAAGGGATACTGGCTCACCGGAACCCAATATACTTTGTATTGAGTGGAGCCAATACAAGAGGGAGGCGAGGGAATCTTAAGTAGCACTGGCAGAAAAAAGTTCCGGACACTTTAAGATCAAAGAGGTATCTGCCTTCGCATGGAGCACTTTCTAAAAATAATTCAGTTTCCCAAGGCTTTTTACTGAGCCACTACTGCAGTTCCACCAACAGTAAATGCATAAAGCAAACCCAAGCCCCTAAATCAACCTGACCACCAAAAGCATTCAAAAATAGCTTTACATTTACCATGCAAGACAGATTTTGTGTAACAGCCACCACTTCTATGGAAGAGGGGAAACGCATGCATTTACTCTTATTCTGGGTTTTAAGAGCACTCATCCAACAAGTCGAATGGAAAACGTAAGGAATAGTTAGAGGCTATAAACAGTTAAAACAAAACCAGCCTTTGGTAGATACTGAAAATGCGCATATTGCATATGATGTGCCTATACTTGGAAGAGGTTTACCTTCAAGGCTGCAAAGCAGGAAAACTTTGGTGCAAAACTTGCTTAATGATTTCCTTTACCTTGTGGGTTGATACTCTGTGCTGAGCAATTACAGTTAGTTTTTCTAGGAGCCCTCGTAATCTCTCCTGTGTAGCATGGGAGATCAAGTTCACAACATCAGAGTTAAGTTCCATAATGTCATGCCTTTTACCTGTGGAAGCAGAGAAAATCCATTACGTGTTTTAGTAGTAGCTGATAATTGAAATAATTAGCACAGCAGGTATTCTGTTCCCCCTGGAAGTCATACCCATTATGAATAAAGGTTTGGAGATTATGATTTTCCTGGTAAAGTCACAACTTCAAAGATCTTAGACATTACATTAATAAAACTTAGCCTGGAGCTTCAGAAAATATAGACATTGTTTCACTTAGCCTCCAGAACCACTCTCCTTGCAAGGTCATTTGTAGGACAAAGTTAATAAGAACACAAATCAAGCTTCATGTTCAGGGAGGGGGAGAAGCGGTAGCTGTAGAAATTAGTGCCATATTCTGTTAATTCCAGTAATTAAAAAAAATAGAGAATTACATTTTGCCCTGCTTGACACCGTGCTTGTTAACAACTCATGACATTTAGTCGATGAGTGGGGGTGGTTTTTGCAGCGCACTCCAGACACACAGGACCCTCTCACCTGCCTCGACCGACTGGCATGGGGCAGACAGACCCAACCATCCCACGGCAGCAGCTCGGGCAACACAGATCAAGTCCAGCCAGCGTCATTCATGCCATCACCTTCAGCCTTTTCTCTCGGCCTGCCACCGCCTCTCTGCGTTTCAGCAGCTGCAACCAAGGCTGGCGACAGCTCCGGGCAAAGCTGTCCCAGCCCCATGCCCAGAGCTGGGCATCACCTCCACAGCCTTCCTGCGGCTGCAGGCTGCCAACAGAGAAGCCTTCCTGTGGTTTAAGCCATCGATCACTCCACGCAACTCTGTCAAGACACCTGGACAGCAGCAACTTTTCTCTGATAGGCACGGCAGGCAGCAGTTTCACACACTTCATATGTCGTACCTGTCAGAAGTGCTTTTCCTTGCTCCTCACTGCATTTACAGCAGCTGTAATACTTTATGATGCAATACACAGCACACCTTCAAAATCTATTTCAGTATTTATTGCCAAGTGGAGTGTTAAGAATAGATAAACAGTACACTGTAAAGAAAACTAATCGCCTATTTCATTTGCCTTTGCTACTCTAACTGAAAATGAGTAACAATCCTGCAAGACCGGGAGAATCTACAATGTTTTCCCAGATACGATCAAAGTGTTCCCACTGTTTGACCTTGGCCAGTAAGCATTGGCCTGTACCTTAGCTGAGTGCAAAGCTCATTTTGCTCAAGCACCTTTCAACACTTCCTCAGCAGTTTCCCCACTATACTATCAGAATACTGAAACATCAACTTAAAGCCAAAACAAAATCGCCCCAAACCTCAAGACCTCCCTCCGCACACACACCCCCCAACCCCTCTTCCTAAACCAAAGAGAGCTCAGTTCAAGAGCAGAAGCGTTCGTTTTCTGAATTGCTGTACTCCCTGACAGTATTCCTTTCCTTGCAATCAAAACACTTTTCATTTATGACATGAATAATTATTATTATTAATAATAATGTGGAACAGCTACCATGCCACTCATGAAACAGCCAGGCTTGTATTTTCCATCTTTCAATGAACTGTCTTCACACCACAAACCAGACAATTATTCTAGAAGTACTTTCCCTTTCTGTTTTTGTAGAGCTCTTTATTTTGTTATCATGTAGTTAAACCACTGTGACAGAATTATGACTGCACGTATGAACTGCAGACTTTCCTGAACGCTCAGCTTTAAAACTCACTGTTCCAGTATGGCAAGCTACCAGGCAGAGAGCAGGAGCAAGGAGTTGAGCAACATTCATCCAGTTTGCTGTAGACGGCAGTGGTACCTATCAGTGTGGTGCTATACAAACGCATGCTCCCTGCTCTGACATAATACAACATTGCTAAGCAACAGTTATTATTTTGCTCAGAAACTAACAGTTAAGATGGTACATACATTAAAAACTTCCTATTACAGTTTAGTCTCAGCCATTCAACATACATTCCACAGTATTATTCACTGATAGAAACAGCTTTAACATCTCTTTTGCATAAAATTAATGAAGATTTTTCCATAGAGGGAGTCATAAACAAAGGTTTGCCCTGTGCAAATTAGCAGTTTGAAACTTCTTCCTAATCACATGGGAAGGATCTGTAATGTTGGTCAATAGAGCACATATATCTGAAACAGGCTGTGGAATGCAAAAGCTGTTAGGCAAGTCAGTGTAATGCATCAAGTTTGGAGCTGCAGAAATAGAAAAGCACACTTAAGTGTTTGATTTGGCACTAGCATCTCTATGGTCGTTATGTATTCCATGAACCTAACCTAAGAGTAATAAAGTTGCTCAGCTCTCAAAGTGGCACCAGTTTCTTTTTTCTGGTTGCGCTTCAGACTATTTCCATGTAAAAACTTAGAGAACAGTTGTCTCCTAGAAGGGGAAGTAAAAACTCGGTGTAGTTTGGTAGAAACACATGAATTGAGATGGCAGATCTTAATAGTTCCAGCTCCTTCTTCAAAGATTGGAGGCTGGCTAATGAAACAGGCAAGGAAATACTGCATCCATACATATCTGTTATGTATGCTTTGTTCTCACCTATGTTCAAGATCTTCTTCTGAAGCACTTCCGAGGAGAGAAAAGGTTCATCTGCACAAGAGCGGATCACTGTACCAATAAGCTCAGAGTTTGTTGCCAAAATGCACGCATTCTCCTCGTTAAGATTGACCCCAGCCATAGAAGTCACATCATTTATGTCATCTTCATCTCTACTAAAGAGAAAACCAACATTTTATGCTTCGTTCGGAATGGATACAAAGAAAAAGCCTCTCAACTATCAACCACATTCACGTATCTCGGAGGCTACCCCTATACAATACATGTTTAGTGTGGGCGTGGACAGGGACAGGCGGCTCCTAAAAGCCTTCACACTTCAGTGAAGTGCCTCTCAAACTTAGCCTGACTAATGCCTCAGTTGCTAGGCATGCAAATCCTTTACATGAAACTGAAATTTTGAGCAAGCTCGGAAACGAAGGACTGAGGTAAACCTGGATTTAAAAGTCCCCACAAGCCCCTGACCCTGCACCACTGCTCTTACAGCCTGAAATTTGTTCCAAAACTCTAATTCACCAGGTAGAACCAAGAGTTGAATAAAGTCGAATACAGACTCATTGAGCTGATAAACAAGCCCATTTTCTAACTGAGATGCCTATCCTATGAACTGAACCTTACAGCACAAGCATGTTAGCACAAAACTGATCTTCACTTTTCTTTTAGTGCGTTCCCTTAAAAAATAAGATACAAACTCTCCTTGTCAGTAGTATACAGAACGAAGCAGACCTTGCCCTTTGAATCAGTCCTACCATACAGTACTTATGCATGTAGCAGGGAGGACGCTATGCTCTGAAGAACAGCGGCTGAGCTCTAGTTCTCAACATCCCTCCGTTAGCTGGATTCTGCTGTAGCAGCTTTGGTTTACATGTTCAAAAGAAAAACTCGTCTGGCGTACTTAGGGCTAACATAACTAAGACTAGCTATAATCATGGCAAAGCTCATGTTAAGCAAATAGCCTGCGTGCCTCAGCTTTTTTTTAAAAAAAATCATTTTAGTTAAAATACTGAATGAATTTTATATAGGAAAGTTTTTGCAAGACTTTAGCAATGAAAATACCCAAGTTATTTTCAATTAAGTTTAGATCATCAAAAGCAAGCCTTTTTTGCTTCACAGAGTGACAAAGGCCCTAATAGTGGCTTCCAGGGTTTAGAACCAGAACACAAGTCAGCATTATTAATACAGACAGGTGGAAGCACTCAGTCTGAAGGTCTTTTGATTTGGAAAACAAAAACCAAAACTACACCACCACCACCCCTCCTAAAAGTATTTGCTGGCAAGGTTTGATAAAGTTCATCTTCAGAAAATACTGCGTGGCCTACATAACTCTTGAGCAAGGGGTTACTCTCAAACTTGCCATTCTTAGGTGAAATGGGATCTCTTGGAGGCTGTCTTCTGACCGGCAATAGGTAGAAGCTGAAGTTATTAGAACATGGGTTGGGTTTGAGCAATACTCAAAAGACACAAGAAAGCATTGGGGTTTTTTCTTAAACTATAGATGCATTTTCTCCTTTGGGCTTCAATAGGTTTCTACGGCCCAAGTCTTCTCCCACAAACTTCTAGAGAGAAGCCTGTCTAGGAAAGGAGTCCAGCCTTCCTCTACTCCTCCTGCCATTCATTTGTGTGCCCTCATGGCTAGGAGTTTCTACGTGATTTGTTCAGGGAGTCACTGCTGCCAGAACAGCTTCCCTCCTCCTACCCCTTCACAACCAGCAACTGAGCAGTTCCAAGCGTATACTCATGCTCTTATAAGCCTAACAGAGATCCTGATCTTTAAAGAAGTGTGTAAATGAAGCTTTGCTGCATGCTAATTGATTGCTAACTGATCTTCCTAAGTACACTCCAGTTTCCTCTTCTTAATGACCACTACAGAGAAGTCTTTGCTGGTGGCAGAGACAAGAATCGCACTGAAGTGCAGTGACTGCCACAGACCTGCTGATAAAGGAGATTACAAAATCAGCACAACTAGCACCAAGAACATACACCACAAATTATCAGAGCCGCAGATGCTGGAACCTGACATTACCCTGATAGAGCTGTTTATGGAATCCAACTAAGGATGCTTGCACCTCAGGTACAACTGTATAGCACACAGTTTCAGTAAATCATTTTAGCTTTTAATCTGGCCACATACTCCAAATACTCAAGCAAGAGGGAAGTGAACTTCTATACTATACATCTATCCACCTGTCTACATACGCAAGTTTCAGTTCTCTAAAACCAGCCTTTATCAGGTTACTATTTTCTTTAATATTTCCATGCACACAGTCTCTCTTGTGAGTACACACATACAAGAACTTATATGCAAGTAGACATCTCTACCTGTACTGTTTTTAAGGACCAATTCTAACTTCTTCACTGTGGGATACAAGTCTGCATTAAGTCACCGAGTCACTAGCCTTGATGAAAGATTAACTTGCACCTATGAAAACACTGCTGCACTTATTTTACTTAACCCAAAGGAACTATCGTTACATTTCCTTCGAAGTGCTCACTAAAGATTAATCTAAGTTTCAGAAGCCATGTTAAGTTTGTACTTTTTACTATTCTTTTTTCCTTGCTGTTCAAACAAACCTCAATCATTTTAAGTAAGGTATCATGTACTTCACGTAAGCTATAAAAGTCATTCTACTAAAGTGATAAATTTAAAATATTCCAGACTATACATGCAGACGTTTCTGTTGGATACATACTGGCTTTCATTTTCAGCAATCCCTCCATAAAGCCCCTCTTCTACACCACTTCCTTTAAAGCTTTTTGCATTTGATCATGTCACATTCAGAAATCAACAAGAAAAACTCTCCCAGCTGTTGTAAGTCTCCAGTGATTTAAGCTTATCACAACAAGGGGGAAAACAGAACACAGAGTTCTGAGCGTTACCCTGCATGAAGTCAGGTTTGACATTTACACTGAATATTCCACTGGAAAAGAAGCTCAAGCAATGCAGGTGCACCTCACATCTATGAATTTGCCCATATTGGCTGAAAAGTGAGTCTGTGGCACCCTCTGGTGTTTGACCAACACACATCTCTTCTTATGAATCCATCTTTATTTACTCCATTTTATACAACAGCCAAAGGGAAGACTAGAAAGGCACGCTTAACCCAGACCTCCGTGCACCATCACAGACAACTACGTGGAACAGAACAATTCCAGCTTAGCAAGAACCACCAGCGCTCCCCACCACCACAGGACAGGAGCAGCAGCTGCCCAGACGTTCTCCACTCTGCTGTCTCACTCCTGTTTGTCTGCCAGTTGAGATTGCTGGTACCTTCCAGACAAAATGCACAAGTCAGTTGTATGTGCTTTGGAGAACGACTCTATTAAATAGAATAGATGCAAAACAAATATTTGAAGATGCAAATGTGTCTTATTTTTTCCAGGGTGCTCTAACATACACTTTACAGAAGTATGTAGAGCAGTTTATAAAAATCTTGATGCTTTTAAAACAGACTGCCCTTTACAATACATGCCATGGGGCAATCAAGTGCCAGTGATGCCCCTGCTTAGCTGAAATTATTTCTAGAAGGTTTTTTTTTAAATGGGTGGGTGGGGGGTGTGTGTGAATCGCCATTTTTTCTACTGCTCATCTCAAGCAACCTAAAACAGCCTATTAAAGAGCAGACAAGGTCAAATTGCAGCTTATTAAGTACAGCTTAGTGAATATTACATTCTTGAAACCTAACCTAACCTAGTCACACAATGGCAGAGGGAGTCAGGCTCGATGACATACTGCAAATGAGAGACCACAGTTTGAAGTGTCACACGTATAACCACATCAATTACAAGACATGCTCTCTGCCCATAACGAATCTCATCACAAAACCTGAAAGGGGGCCATGGTGCTTCTCTCTGCCTCACACATGATCAGCAGTTGATGGATCACAGGTCACAAAGAATAGCTGTGCTGGGAATACTGAAAGTCAGGACAGAAGAGAGCAAACCACTTCACCGCTTACCGGGGAACATCTGTTGCCCAAGCCAGATTAACACTATGTGGCGACAGACCTGCTCGGAGAACACAGATACCGGACTGAGGGAAGCCAAAAGTTCAGGTACACGCTGCCCAGGTTCAGATATATGAAGATTCTCATTACGTAGTTTTTAAAGTCAGAAAGTTTGGTTATAGCAACAAATAAAGAAGCACCAGGGGTGTATCCAAAGACATAAATTCTTCAGAGACAAGAGACTTACTAGAAAAATTTAAGGTGAGCTACAGATTTCAAATCTAGTTCTCATGGATTTAAGCTACTTTGAAAATCATAATCCAAAAGCAAGAACAGAAATCCATCTTGGATCACACTACAAAAGCAGAGTTTTTCCCTATACTAAGAATTTAACAATTCAGGGAAGGAACTTCAAGAATTCAAACTTTTTCATGTAAGACAGTTGATATATTCCAATTGGAAGATCACAGAAAAAGAAATTGTTTCTATTTTTTTTTGGTAGGAGTTTTTTTGGTTTTAATTATGATATTTATGAAGTGATTTTTTTTTTCCCCAAACATCACTATCCGAAATTACATCCCAAATTATATTCTGAAGTATATTTTGTAAGAGCTTGAGGCAGCTGAACAGAGCTATTGTTTTAACATCAGCTTTTCATTTCAACTTCTGGCTACCAGTATTTTTAGTGTTCATTGTATACTGTATGTTACTGTAAACAACAACAGCTCTCTGTCTATATCAGTGCACACAAAGCTGTAGCTTTCAAGAGATGAGAAGTCAACTGGTCAACAGGACAGAGGTGTCATGTCTGCTTTTATCCTTGGGAGAGCAACTTCAAGCTTGCCTTAAAGTCATAAGACCAATAATGCTTATGGCAGTCTGTACCTCTGTTCCATCATCACATTTCAGAGCTACAAAAGTAATTTCTGCTTTTGAAAAGTTAATCAGTTACCAGAACTAAAAGCTTAAAGCACTCTTGTAATCTAAAGGCCTAGAGAATATGCCAGAAGCCATAATTAGAGGTGTAGTCAAAGACTTTCACCTCTACAGGAACAAGCTTGTAAGAGGAGCTAATGAAAGATTTTTGAAATACAGCACAGAACTTTAGACAAGTTACCAGCCAGTCCAAATAACAGTTCAATGCTATCCAGCCGTCTGTAAAAAACAGAGGTTATATCTGCTTTAATCCTATGGAGAGCTTTTAATACAAGGTAACTTTGCTTTAGATTAGTTAATAGTACTCATAGGATGGCGATCAATATGCCTCCTCTATAAGTGAAAAACTGATACATATTGATGGACACTGTTTATATAATTACACTCTTGTGATAGCACGATGAAAGTCCATTCTCATCAGGACAGTTTTCTTACATTAAGAATAATTAAGAGCTGCTATGAGGTCAAAATTTTTAGGTTCCCCCTTGCCAATTAGTATTATAATGTGAAAAACACCTATCATGAACAAGTTTCTTTAGAAAGTTGCTTTTATTTGGGCTCCATTCCCACCTCTATACTTGCTGTCTGTTCCTTTTGTTCCTTCCTATAGTAAGCTTCTTATATTGTTTATTTTTACCTGAAGGATGTTGCTCCATTCTCTTTTATTTTAGCTTTCTGAGCAGGAGATGCTTGAAGCGACAGAATTTTATTTCCTGGCAGGGTAATTTGTTTCAGAATGGAACCTAAAACAAAACAAAGAACATGCCATAGTAGAAAGCAAAATGCTACGATAACTGTTTAATCAGTTCATGTTTCTAGCAAAGGCTACTGCAGCCTCAGTAACAACTAATTAGGTCCATCTGAAAACCAGACACTCTAGAGGCTTACATTCTACATGTTCTATATGGCCAAAAACCCTACACGCTTCCAGCAAACATCCTCCTCTATGCTGACCAGTTAAAGGTTTTAGTGAAAACCGGCTGGCTGAGACAAACTCACATTATGCATCACCCTGGACCTGCTGAAGGAAAAAGCAGTCTGATGAAAAGACTCTCAAAAGCATCACGGTTTAAAGGAAGTTCACTGCAAGGAGCTTACTCACAGTATTTTAACAAGTACAAACGTTTGATTGACATGCTTTTAACAGGTGCCAGAAGTAGACATGGCACTGAGTTTCTCATCAGAACTCCAAGTAGACAGTAAAGATGTTCAACATACCGCACAGAGCTGGTTGCTCCCAATAGGCAACTACCTTCTTACGTTCCTACAGTCTACCAACAGCCGGCGCTTATTTCTATACCTCAGCAGTCCTCTGCCTTCTCCATTAAAGAGGTTCCACTTTACCTGCAGGAAACTGGTTGGTTTGAACAAGTGTATTCAGCGGCATCCTCTTCTCAGCAGATGTCTGTAGGGTCAGCGTTGAGGGTTGTGGGAGTGTGGATACTTGCTTTACAATGGTTCCTGATGGTTGTTGGACTACCTGGAAGTGAAATATCCAATATCAAGAGTGAGAAGAGCTAAACATACAGAGGAGCAAATAGTATCAACACGTTCATTTAGCCAGAAGTGTTGCTGGGCATGCATGCATGTCTAGCTTTTTAAAGCAAACAGCATGCTCAGAAAAACCTCACTTTTTTTTTTTTTACTTCATGACAAGAAATCTTAACAACCGGTAGTGAGCTTTAAGCTCCAGCTCATTCAGTGAGCTCTAACAGACACTTCACCCCTACTCTCTATTGATAACAATATTAGACAAGTTTCACTAGGTATTACACAATCCATTACACTAAGAGGCTTTCCTCTCCATAAGTCTTGCTTAACAGACTAACAACTGAATATTGAGTCTGCGTGACAGTAAGTTCAAAAGGGTAGGTACCATATACACCTAGTTAAAAAGAAAGAACATCAAAACAAACAGTTACAAGTCTTGCATGAAATCCTTTTCCTGTCAAGAATTAGAGTACACACTATAAAGTTACCAGGGCATTTTTGGAGCCGCAATGTCAATTGTAAATTGAGATGCTGCGTTTCAAAGTGTTAAGCAAAAGTACACTGAACACATCAGTTAGCAGGAACATGAAGTACCATCTAGCAAGACCTATAGCGAGTAGAGCCTCTGCACAAAGACATCAGTACACTGCTGAAGGGTAAAAAGGAAGGGGGTTGACAGTTTTGTTTAAAGAGGCTCTTGAAAGAAACAAAACCAGAGAGCAGGATGTCATCACAACACAGACCTACAGGCACAGCCCATAAATACTAATTCTTCCTCTTCAGGGGCAGCTATTAAAATGCAAGAACGTAATAATATTGCAGCATCCCTAAAAGCCTCATTTCTAAGCCTCCTAGCTAGCAGAATATCGGCTGCAGCTTTTGATACATCCTTTGGAAAAGTTCTTGATTAAAAGTAGAAGAAAGATATGCTTTTACCAAAGCACAAATTAATCAACATCTTCAGATTGAATCCTATTTTCTTTAGCAGCAAAAAGCTAATACAAAGGAATTTTCATGGTCAAGAAACCACTTTTTCTCCTCTACATCTTTTATTCTAACTTCGGAAAGTCTAAAGAGTGCTTGTACAGCAACACTGCACAAGTTTAATTAAATAACTGACATTTATTATGCTTCAGAAATTAGGCTGTCGCATTCTGTCATCTAACTTCAGATTCATCAGTAAACATCATCAGCATAAGCATCACACATTCACAAAAAGAGGTACTTTGTGTATCAAATAGTCAAGATACACCCCGCCCACCCCTATATTAATAGCATCATCATTTGGCATAGCAACAGTAACGTAGAATAACCGAGCTGAAGGTGGTGCCTGAGAACCAGACAACGAACAGACAGTTCTTGAGAAGAAACGTAAGATCCGTAAGAGGAAAGAACCACGGGAGTACAGGGACAGACTGTGGACAGAGTCAAGGCTCACACAGGCAGCATTTCCTCATGAAGTAGTACAGACACTAACATTTGCTTCTATGTGTTTTTACCAAAGCGCAGTCTGATCTTTCTGAAGGATCCAGCTTCCATACGCTGGAAGCTGCAAATAACGTTAAGAGCATCATTTATGTGTTCAGATAATTACTGAGCCACTGACCAGCTTGGACAAACTACTCACAGGCTCCACCAACACCCACACTGACACGCACCTAGAGATCCTCCCTACCACCAGCGGGAATGATGCTTCATCTTCAGCGTGCAAAACACTGAAACAGCACAGGACGAAACATAAGCATTCAAGATGAAGATGCGTCAGACAAAAAGAACAGAGAGAGGCAGTGTTAAATCAACAGCCTAGGTGGAGTTTGGGAAGTAAGTCAAGTAACCAAGGAGACTAGATCAATGAGAAACAGAAAGGATGTGTTGGCAGTAAAACTAATTTTGTGTTTGCTCTTCTAGCTGCTAGACTAACAAAAGCTGGAAGTCCTTGGGACTAGCAACAGAACAGGGCAACAATCCTAGAAATTTCAACAAGGATCTAATGCCAGAAAAAAGTATTAAAAAATAGATAATATCTGTAAGAAAGAGCTATTGCCTCTTCTCTTCAGGTTAGCAGCAAGAAGTAATAAAGATGAGGGACTGTTCCCTTGTGCCCTGTTAAGTAGGTTGACAGAGACATCAGAATAAAAAGCACCAACATTCTTAAGTAAAAAAAACGCAATGCAACATCCAGCTGACAGCATAGGGACAGCTGCCTGAGAGAGACTTTGATTAGCCTTACTTGAACCTGTTTTGCATTCATAAAGCAAAGTTCAGAGATCAGCGGAGAGATGGTAAGGTATCATCACATGCTACAAGTGGTATTGCTTCATGGAGGAAGCCTCACCAGCTGAACACAAAATAAACATCCAGAACAAAAAAAAACCCACACCTCTTGAAAAATAACAGAGGAGATTCTCTGCTCAAGAAAACTCAGCTCAGAGGACTCGACACTAACAACAAATCACTAAGAACAAGCGGCTGGAATAGCACAAGCACTTCACTCCTTGCTTCAACCGCTAGCAACGTCCAGGGAGCATGTCCCACTGGCAATTGTGGGAACTACACCATAAAACTCTTGCTCTTTATGCTTAAAATGAAGTTCTAGTCTCACAGCAGCTTTCTCACCATTGGAAGCCAGCGGCTGGTAATGTAAATTTTCATTTATTGTGCTTTAACAAGAGGCAAAGCAATACTTCAGCAAGACAAGCTTTCACCCAGAGTTTCGATAATCATGCCACAGAAGAGACAGTTACATGTTGCATCACTCCAGTCACAATTTTTATATTAAAATAGTGCAGTGCTGCATTCTTAAGCAGCACCAATGTTACATCGGAGCTGGCACATGAAAGTTCGCTTTGCGTTCCTCAAGCACAAGAGACCTAAATTAGAAATGGGCATGCAGAGGGAGTGTATGGCATCAGACAACCCTCAGGGCTGGAAAGGGAAAGAAATTGCTGGCAGCATTGTATGGACAGATTTGCACAGCTGGCATGTGCTTCCTTTCAGCTGGCAGCAGGACCCTTCTGTTCAGGGAGGGGAGGTCCAGATTTGTTTTCTTGTGGGACGAAACAGACCCTCTGTCCTTTCAAGGAAATGCACCAGGGAAGCCCTAGAAGATGCAGCCACTTCTACTAACTTACTCTTTGTGCTAATAGGTTGCCTAAACAAACACCAAGCTCTGGACATGGCTAAGCTGCCAAGTGGTCAACTCAGTCCTTCAACTACATCCAAGACCACAATCAAATAGGTATTCTGAAGAGCAAGTATTTTAATCACTGTGCCTGGGATCTACCCAAATGGAGATAAAAACATGTTTTGTATGCAATTCAATGCTTGCAAGGCACTGCGAAGAAAAGCAATTGCAATAGGCTGCCACACTGCAGTAGCGGAGGAGGCAGAAGTCATTTCTTGAGTTCACCAATATCATATTCAAGAAGTGTTTCAACTCCCCAGTGCAGAGTTAAGCTTCCTCGTCTATTTGTACAGATGGTCAACCTTTCCCCTGGATTACATGGCTTGCTGTGTAGCCAACAAACTGCTCTCCAGCCCTTGTACAACCTAAGAAGCCCTCATTTTCTTCTGGCTGGAATTTCAAATTTAGTCCTCAAAGCCAGTAAGGGTACCAACTCCTCCTCCAATTTGGCTTTAGCTACTGCTGTCAAAGACTGTTAGTGCATATGCTTGATAACTGTTTGTTTTTGAAACAAATCCACTCATAAAAAGGAGCCCCCACCCCCTCCATACAGTTGAGTGCTTTGTTCTTTTTAAGCAAGTCCGAAAAGGTGAAAAGCTGGTAGCATAAGCTCTTTATTTAGAATGCAGGATTCTCGTATTACATGTACCTTATGCACTTTGAAAGGAAGAAAACTAAAAAAGCAAAACATTTTAGGGGTCTGAATATTGTTAAATCAAGCATACACAATAAATGAACTACAAAGGAAATTCACACACTAGATGCCCTACTATACCTGTGGAAAGTAAATCTAGCTTTATAGGGAGTCTAATGTTTTCCCCTCTTTTTAAGGAACAAATCTGTACAAGGAAGTCCTATTCAAGAATCGAGTTGTTTATCTGCCAAAGGGAGACTATTCTCTCAAAATACTTGAAAACATTACTTGCAGGTAGACCAATCAGACAGCATACTACTCGGTATCTCAAACACCCATAAACCAAACCTAATGTATTTCACAACATTGCTCTTTTGGGTATACCTGTGATCCACAGTTTGTTGGTATTTAGCATTAACATTAGCAAGAAGTTAACCTGTGCCAAGAAAAAAATATTAAAACAATACCCTCAAAAGCAATGTGTTAAGACGACATTTGTTCCTCCTGGAATTTGTTAGCTAATGAGGCCTGACAGAAAAAGCTCACTTTTGGATGACTTCATAATTAACATGTCTTAGTAAATTTGGAGGTCAGAACTCTGCTCTGAAAAGCTCCTTGAGCTAGTTCATACATTTCATTTAACATACCACTAAACATCATCAAGCCACCTGTGCCTGCAAAGTATCCAGGGTAGGAACTACCAAGCTAGAGACCAAAATCTCTGGTGGCTAGCTGAGGCACAGCCCTAACAAGGCATCTAATAGTAATTAACATAAGCATCCCATCAGCAATTTCTGTTTCTGACACAAGCATTTCCTGCCTTTTCTTTCAGATGCCAACCTAGCCAAGTTGCAGGCATTGCATGCAGACTCATATTCCCTCGTGTCTCAAGCTCTATGTTCAGTCTGGTGGAATGGTGGTCAGCATGTTTTGCAAGATACCGAGCTTACAGTTTGGCTTTAGATTCACCTTTTCAGCAAGGGCTCAACATCCCTGACTATGACAAACATAACTGATTAACTCATGAAAGACCAGCTTCGTATGTGAAAAAAACCCCACTAAGATCCAAATTAGTATCCTCTTGGCAAAACGGTAAGAGTGAAAGCAAAGAAGCCCAGTTACAGAGAAGCAGAGACATTCATCTTACCAACTGTTTCACTTTAACCACCTGCTGAGCACCCACTGACTGCGCAACAATGGAGTTTGGCTGTGAGATTTTAATACTGATTGGGGTTCCAATGACTGGTTTCAGAGGCTGGAGAGGGGTTGCTGCTGAAGATGCCGCTGTAGAGACCAGCACTGGCTTTGCAGACTGGAGAGAGGACGTTGCTGCTGCAGAGGTGAAGACTGGCTTAACAGTTTGGATAGCAGTCAGCCCTGATGTTGCTTTCGTTGTGGCAAGGCCTGAAGCTGCAGGCCGAAGAGATGCTGTCACCACTGCAGAGGCAGGGACAGCCTTCACGGTCTGCAGAGAAGCTGTCGCCGATGCACTGACAAGGACTGGTTTTATAACCGGAGAGGCTGTGACTGTCACAGAGGCAGACACTGGTTTTATAACTGGAAGAGAAGTTGTTGCTACAGCTGAGGTTGCCGCTGAGGTTGCCACTGCTATCGAAGGAGCTGGTGCTGCAGAGGTACAAGTCGAAACAGCTTCTTGGGTTGGAGCTGGCTGCTGCATACACTGCTGGATAAAGCTCTGAGCATTGGGCATTAGCTGCCGTAAGGCAAGCATGCTTTTCTAGAAGAAAAATGAAAAGACACCGGACATAACATCAGTCTTCCACAATACCGATACATTAGCAACCGAGTCTTCTCCCTCATCTTCCAATTTAGTTTTTCATGAGACAATAAATTGCTTATTCCAAACAAGTTTTGCTAGAATTCAGGCACCCTTAAATTGACGACAATACTGTTCAGTGAAGACCACAAGAATCACCAATACAGGCTGAGCAAAGGCCAACAGTCACCACAGCTTCACTGCACGTAGCAATTCCCATCTATCCGGAAACTCACCCATAATGTTGTTCTTTTGTTTAGATTTCCCAATTCGAAATTTGTGTTCTAGAAAAAGACCATTTTAACCATTTTACTACCTCAAAAAATTTTGTTTTGCCAAAAAAACCTCCTAGATTGTAACAGCTGTGTTTATTCCATGGAGCCTGTCTGACAGAGAGCTACAAATTAGCCAATAAAGTCAGAAACAAGCTCTGAAGATATGAGCACTTCTATATCAATGCAGCTGTATCTACACTAGGGGGGGATACCACTTTAATAATGCCTGTATAGCTGCAGCAGCACAACTTAAGCCAGATAGTTCTCTGCAACAAGAGAACATTAGTAAAGGTATCTGGCAACATCTCATTTTTACTACAGCTATGTTTGAGAAGGTTAATGGACAGAATAATCTTCAAGCCCTCTACAGTTTTTTCTCCTTGACTATTTACAATCTGATATGACTTAGAACCAAGGGAAATCAGTTCTGCAGCTACCTGTATATTCTCACAAACCTTTCCCCCCCTCCCCCAACAGTTTTTGAAGTCTGTAAGAGTCTCCAGTACAGTGCTGTTGCTCTGGGCTTCATGCAAAAGGAACATGTTGTCTCACGTGCTAATATACCAAGTGAACAAATTGTTTGGACATCTAGACCTTCTGCGGCACACCTGTCATTAATGTTCACTTCCTTTTCTTTTAAAATGCTGCTCAGCTTTCCTCATGCTCCTGATGCAATTTATTTACCAAAACCATCCAGCACAGATTTGAAAATCAAGCAGGCTTTACAGCCAAAGTCACTGTACTTTTCCACCTATTGGAACAGACAAAATAAAACACATGCAACAAGTTCATCAGAAACCTGCAGCTCAAAGATAAGAGACAACTCCAGAGAGTCCTCCCTAAAATTCCACTCCACTAGCTAAAAGTGAAGTGGCAACAAGCCTTATCACATTTCTTTCCAGACTTGAGCTGCAAGTATTTCCCCCACAAACAAGGCCAGCACCGATCCTCATAGCACCTTAGAGAAGTGCTCCTGAAGTCACCTTCCATTTGGCACTCAGTCCTGTCACAGCTGCTCAGAGCTAAGAGACCAGACCCAATTGGTGTGTATCAAAGACACATCCTTAAGGCATTTTGGGAAAAAAGCAAATCAGGGTGCAAGAAGTTTTAAAGGATGGGTAACACTACAAAGTCAGCTAGCTTTGACCATAACAATGTCTAAGCAACGTTTCTGAAGTCACAGTATTTCATTGTTAATATAGCATGCAACAGGAAGAGAGCACCTTGTCAAGGATTATGGGGTATGGATACTGCCCAAAACAGAAAGCCTAGATGATATCAGTACCTGGCAGCACGCCACAGGAGAAACGTGCAACGGCTCTGCTGTGATGGGTCAGGGTCTGACCCACACTGATGAACCCAACTTAACTCCTGTAAAACCGCCTTGAGGTCTGTGCACCACATGTAGTAGCTCTCCACATTGTGGGATGGCTTACTAACTCAGGCCGAGCACTTCTGCGAGTGCATGAGGACAGTGCTGTGCCTGAGCTAATAAACCCTTGGGGGACCCAAAGGGGTAGAAGCTTTAGCAAGTGCTGCACAGCTACCCCTTGGCTCAGCCTCTCTGCATGAACAAGTCCAGGGCTGTCAGGGCTCACCAGCCCTTGATGAGATCTAGCTGTGCCAGACTTAGGCTGGGTCTGTGTGGAGCTACTGAGGTTCACCTGTGCTGTTTTGGGAACACAGCACAACAACAGCACAGCCTAAGCTGGCCCCACACACACACAGCCAGCCCACATCCAGTGAGGTTCATCAGCCAGGGCCTTGCAGAAGGCAGCTATGCTACTTCTGAAGCCAAACGTGCCCTGGCAGTTAGTAGAGCTCTACTGATTCTCCGTGCAGCTTGTAGGAAGCCTCTGCCAGTCACACTGACCCTGCACTCACAGCCCAGCGCTTCTGCAGCCAGAGCTGCACTGGATGCAGGAAAGCCCATACTCTGAGCTGTTTGTTTTTCTAGCTTTTGCATGGGCTTTTAAGAAACCTCCAGGGAATTAAACGGAGAATAAGTAAGTGACCAATATGAAAATTTTATACCAAGCCCTGCAGAGATGAGCGTAGTCTTCTAGACTCATGGCAAACTTGCTAGCAAAGCATTTAAAGGCTGCCACTGTAACAAAAATATTCATCCCACACTTGAACAGATTAACACCAGCCATCTAGAGTAATATCAACATTATCACACGCATTGCTATATGTGCTGTCAAACACTAAGGAAGAGGACAAACTCCAGAAAACCTCTGTCCTAGCTTTACCACTTAACTATTCTTCCTTGATTCTCCACAATGCCTATAATGAATGCCAAGGAAAAGTACGGCTCTATCAAGCCTAAGAATACTGTGTACATTGCAATTAAGTAAATGTAACCAAGTTTTCCATGTTTTCACTGGGATTTAATGCTTGCCGTACAACGAAGATGTTCATTTTTATTTTGTTAATACCATTCTACCATATGATTAAAAGAGTTAGGAGAGCATTTTTTAATTTATGTGATTATTTGCTTGAAGGTAGAGTTGTCCTGGGTTACATTTCCTAAGCTGCAATAGTCCTGTCAGACCCTTTCTGGAGAAAGGGGTGGGACTTTTTTCTGCCTCCAGTTAAACACAAGCCAGCAGACAGATGAATAGCTTTATGTAGATTCTTTGAGCTTAAATACTGCATAAGCTGTGCACAGCCACTGCTGTCAGTCTTCTAGAACATTCTGAGTTCTAATACAGAAAGTTTTGATGAGAAAGTAAGAGGTCATCTTAGTATAGTTGCTCTACTGTAGATGCACCAGCTTCCAAAACATTAGTCTCCACTAACGACGAGAGGGTAATTACTCTCCAATTTAAGAACACAGCATAAATTACCCCTCTGAAATCCTCCCTCCCCCAAAAAATTGTCTTTCCAAGAGCAACAGTCACACAGGGCTAGGTTAAACACCATTTCCTCAACTGACCCGAGCAAATACCTATTTGAATGCTCTGCCTCTTTCCTTTTCTTTTCTGGTCCTCCCCCCTCCCCTCATTAAATACTTCCACAATCAGACACTTACCTTGAGAAAAGGAACTAAATACGGTTGTGGAGATGACTTGAGCTCTATGTATAGCTTTTTTGTAAATTCTTCTGGTTCAATTTTTGCTTCCTAAGAGGAAAGTACAATTACAATGGTAAGTTATAACTATGAATCTACCATATTTTTTCCCCAGACGTATCAAAAATTCATGGAAATTTAATTATCATGGAATTGCTCAATTTCAGTACTCAAATGCTTTTTTTCATTCCCCTATTTTTAAATGAAAGGTTTTAGGATAAAATTATGTTGTAATTTAGATACAGTATTATCAAATTGAATTACTTTCTTCAACTACAGGCAGTTAACACACTTAAGGATACCTGTTCAAACACCCCTTCGCTGAAGTGAACTGATAGAAACAAGTTTGTAAGTAGCACTGATCTGTTTGAGTACCTCATTGTTACGCAGAGATATTTAAAATCCACTACAACTACTTTTTTTCCTGTGAAGGTAGTTTATCTGCATAAAGATCAATTTAAAGAGACTGGAGACAAAAGACAACTCAGTAGTTTTTGTAAAACAATTCTAGTCTAATGCATACATAGCATAATAAAGCAGAACACTTAACATCGTCTTTCAAAAGCAGGAGAAACTGAACATCAGAACATCGCTTCTGCATACCACTATGGTAACAGTCCTCTGCCTTGCAGAGTACAGTCTCCTTTCTTAATGCTTTCTGCTCCGCCCCACGCAAACACCTGACTCAAGGGCTTGGAAGGGTTAGGAAGCTGCAGCAGACTTCTGAGACCCCCTCACTCACCACTTTGGTGCCACCACAATGGGGCTAAGGTGGTGGGTAGCCCCAGACACTGCTGCCCTTTCTCACCCTCCCAGGTGAGACCCTGCCACGGAGTCACCAAGAACATTGCCTCCTCCAAGAGGGTACAGACATACAAGGAAGAGGGACCCCAGCACCGATCTCTGCCTCTGCAGAGAAACTGCTCCTCCCACCCATATTCTCCTTTGGAACAACTGTTCTAAGGAGCTACATGACCAGAGCAGGGGTTTTAAGGACTGTATATTCACAGACAAACAGAACTTACAGCGGCTTTCCTATTTAGTCATTTGATCTGCTGCCTGTTAGGTCTCACTGAGCTGTGGATACAGGTCACCGAGGTCTCACCAATACAGGTGCAACGATTTGGTACACTACATCTCAGTGCACACAAGGCACCTGACACCCACTTCATGAGATGCTGCCTTGAGGACCATTTCACTTCACAGCTGCTGTTTACTTGTTTCCCTCATACATATGAAACATTAATTTATTTTGCATTTAAATCATATACACATACTGAATGGCAGAAGAACAGCATTTTTAAAATACTACAAAAAGCAAACAAGTGCATAGTTAATGATGTATTAATATCTGGTAACAACTGTTCTTAAAAAAAAATAAATAAATAAAAGCACTGTAAGCACAAGAAGGAACAACTCCAGTACTTTCCTACAGAAGCAAGGTGTATAGTCCAGCAGGGACACAGAGGCAGAGGAATCAAATTTTTGCAAGGCTGCATCTTAAAACAAGCTGCTCTCTGAAATTACACCTCTGTCTACACCATACTTTTCTAGACTGAAAAGTCCTTTGGTACCACTAGCAAAGCCATCCCCCTCCACCAGCCCACAACCTTCTGCTATGGTGGAACAACAAAACAGCAGCAGCGGTCAAATGCCAAGACAAGAAGTGGCAGGAGAAATCATTACCAAGAAAACCCAGCTGTGCTGGGTACAGCACAAAGCAGCATACGGAAGCCACCTGCAAGGAGAAAGAAAGGTTGGCAGCCACCATGTTATTTTCTCCATCCCACTGTCTAAAGACATAGATAATGTCATGCTTGTTCCACTGGAGCTTCACTATCAACCTGTCAGTCAGTTCTGTCTTGGAGTAAAGCAGTAGTACGGACTTAGCACTACATTACAACCTCCACAGCAATACTCTTGCCATTGAGGACTCAAAACTACACTAACATGAAAAAAAAAAAAAAGCAGCTCAGACCAAGAAGCTGTGTTAACACTATCAGCTCCTCCTGCTGTCAGTTACCTGCGTGCATAAAATGAAACAGGAATGTGAGGGGGGAGAAAAATACAGCATGGGATCCAGTTAAAGTAAGAGTTATAATGTAAGACTTAAAGAGGGTCAGATGTACTCAGCCACAAATCCAACTCTTCAGCTGTTTAAAAACAAAAAAAGAGACAAGGAACAAAAACTATGATGAAGTCAATGTCAAAAACTATACACAAATAATACCAACTTTGTTTAAAAAAAATGTCTCACCAATAGATTTTGCACCAGGTTCTTCACATTCTGCCCCATCTCAGGGGCTTGAGGTCCACTAGATGCCAGTTTTATTAGTGTAGCAAGAAAATTCTTGCATTTCTTCACATTCTCTAGCATCTCCTAGCATGGAAATAAAGACTGTTAGATGTTGCATTGGCTCTCCAACCTCTGATGAATATAGAGAATGTTAATTTTTAATTAAAAACTTTTTTTTTTCCTTACCGTAGAAGCGCTGGTCTGTGCTACTGTTGTGCCCTCTGCTTTCACAGAGACTGCCTTTTGGGAGATAGCTTGTGCAGGTGGTCCTGTAACTGGAAGTTTTACAGGTGTTCCAGTACTCGAAGGCTTTACAGCAGTAACTGTAGTAACACTAGCTGTTGCAGCTGCTGGCTGAAAAGAAAAATTAACACTTTTTAACCAAAGACTAACGTGACAAACATACTGTATTCCACTAGCGTATAAGGTAGCGCCCTGCCTCCACACTACTATTTAAAACATAAATAAACGAATTTTATCTTTGTTTTTAAAGTTTGGATTCATTTGCTCTGAGAGGCTCTATTTAATACAGTAAATGACAGAACCCCCACAGCCATAATTCTGTTTTTAAATCAAGGGCAGGGGGAAGAAATGACAAAGGCTTACCCAGACTGAAGCACTGCCTGCAACTTCAAGTGAAAAGAGAAAGGTAAAGTTGTCTTGAACAAACCAATATATTAACTTAGCCAGGCTCCTACAAGTCTAAGACTAATGAATTTTGAACAATGCTAAGCCAGGCAATACTATGCTGAAGATAAATAATCACTTAAGGTTTTATTTATCTTATCTTCCTTTCTTCCCCTGCAGCTCCTCTCCCAACTGCAATATCCCTTACTCTTCCTATCACACACAAAGTAAGCAAAAGGTGTCATGTCCACTTTGGAAGGATGCATGTGCCAGCAGCAGCAATCAGCTGAGCAAATGCACCTAACAAGTTCTTCCTGCCTTTTCCTTGTGGGCAGCAATTTGGATCTCTCCTCTGCCCAGACACAAACCCTCACAAAATTAAGTTATTTTGAGACCTCTTTTTAAAATCTCATTGGAATTTACCAACAGATTCAGAAGCTCCAGCAACAGGAGAGTAATGAAGGTTTAGGAAAAAATAAGAACACAATTGCCTCTCTCCTTTGCAAACCACGCTAAATAGTAGTTTCCAGAGGAAAACCTACTAAACTGAAGTTTTTCTACTTCAGATTTTAAAGAAAGAAAACAAAAAAAAAAAAACCACACTCAAAAAACCCAACACAGTTCTGATACAACAGAATACAACATGAGTAAAAGACTTGGCCTCTACAAAACCCACTACTTTCAATTTCTCAACTTGAAAACGAAAAAGCCAGATTGAACCTGCAGGTTACAGAAAAGCAAGAGTTTCAGGTTAGCGTTTGAAACCTGAAGTTGGGTGTTGTTTTTCCTCCAAACCTCTCAAGAGAAAGGGAAAGTCTGGTTTTGCAGGCCAAATTCTAGGCTTAGATCTGTGCAACACAATTGCTTTCACTGACTCTTAACACACTTAAACACCACAGTTAATTCCAGCAATCACAAATTAAAACTTGCTAATTGCATTAATGATAAGACAGTCACACAAGAGCACAACTTACCCTACCATGGATAAAACAAAAACTGATCAGAGTTGGACAGACATCATGTAGAATATCAAAGGGCTTTTAAGTCTTTCAGGATAGGGAAAAAAAATCAGTGAGCAAACATTTAAAGCTAAAGCAAAACATTTGCACTTTTGTTGTTTACTTATAAATTATTTTTTCCTGGGTGGTTTCCCGCCCACCCCCCCAAGCTGCTGCCAGCTTGACATGAAAGAAGCAGGCAGCCACCAGAAAGCTTTCCAGCTTAGGCTCCCACTGTTGGTAACACTTTAATAGCTCTCTGCAGGATCTTTGCCACCACCGCTGCCTCTTCCAAGGATGAGGCTCAACAGCTCGAAGACCACAGGGAGGCAAACTGGGCACAAGAATCCCACAAACAGATGGACGGGAGGAAGATGGAAGGGGACAGAGTAAAGATCTGTCAAGCTGCAATGCCCTGGGCTTTTAAAAGCCCGAAAACATGAGGTTCGCAGGAGCTGATCTCTTGCAAATTCCAGCGTGTTTACACATCGAGACCAGAACGGCATTTTATCAGCTGAGGGAGGGAACAACAGGAAGTCTGCTGGACTCTTTTCCCAGGAAGATGAATATATGGGAATTAACTTCTGTCATCTGCCCTCAACCTTTTTCACTACTGACAATTCTCATTCTCACTTCGAGCAACAGAGAAACAGTCACCACAAAAAATGGCATTAATCCTGCATATTTTGAAGTCATTTCAAGAGAAGAAGTGCTCTGCATCTAAATGAAAGTACCTCAGCATGATGCTAATTAGATACTTCGCAGCTTCGTTACCCCATCTGGGAAGAAGGTAAAAAATAAAAGTGTGCAGGTATTTTGTCTAACCTCAGAGCTTAAACATTCAGGAATGTCAAAAAATGGAAATATTTTTGTAGATGAGGATAATAATCCTGGAGTCAGTAACTACAGAGTTTTGCAGACAGCAGTCTTCCAAGTTGTACTTAGCAGAGGATAGGACATACACTATCAAGCCAAGGATTATTTCCCTTCCACTGTCTTCCACTTTTTGTGATGACATCATACTTCCACACCAACACTCCTCTCCCATCACCTCAAAAAACTGTCAAGATTAACATCAGCAAGTTCTTCTAGGACTGACGAATGAACGGCTGCCAAGGAAATCAAAGCCAAGGAAATCAAACCCAAGGACTCCTTCTTTCTTTCCCCAGACGGTTCCTGCAACCTTATTGCATGGACTCCCTTGTCAGCACTCTTCTCGTCTGCCCCAGGGTGAGGAGTGAGGTGGCCCTGTGATGACAAGATATATCCATATTGCACCTACTTACTCTTTATTGTACGAGGAGCTTGTACAGAGGGCTTTGCAATCCTCTGCAAAACAGAGGGACTCCAAGGAAGCCACTCCACACAGAATGGCACTATTAATTTTTCCTAGAGTCATCGTTCCTGCTGTTTAAATCCAGCCCTATACTCATTAGAACTGTTCAAGTTTCTACAACAGAAAAAAATACAGCTTACAAACAAATACTGCAATGTCTACCTCTTTAAATATCTCGGAAGAACACAAGTTAAATTGATTACATCAAAACTGAACTAAGAAAGTACAGAAGAACCCAGTCAAAGGCAGGTGTAAGTTTAAAAAAGAAAAGTTAATAGCATGATGAATCTCAATGTTTATCCACATGAGAGTGTGAGGATGCAGGCAGCTTCATCCATCAGATAGAAGAAATCTTTACCTTCATCTCTTCTTCCCAGTGCAAGGGTAGTATAGTAGATGACTATTGCTTTTATACCGTAAAGAAGTCTATGCAGAGATCACAAGCACACGGTTTGCAAGGTAGTATTCCAAAATAGAAGTGGGTAAGGAATACCCGTTACTGTTCTTAGACACAAAGTGCATGTTGTTTCCATTCTAAGCAAAATAGAAAATGTATTAGGAGAGGCCTCTGGGTTTTCCCCTTTAGCCCCAACATTATCCATCTGTAGTGAGAAGGAAGAGGAAAAAAGACCACAGACAGAGCTGTGAGTAGTTTTCAGTTGCTGATACAGAAGAACAGCAGGAGGACAAATTTGGAAGTCAGACTCAGTTACCGCTGTCAGCGAACATATCCCCCAACCCTTTGAACACCCTCAAGGTCAAGAACATACATCCAGCATGGTTTTTTGAATGACTGATCCTGCTCATTTACCGAGTGCTTGGTCAACCACTACAGGCCCAGTCTCCTTCAACCTCTTGTTCACAAAAGAAAAGGTATATACAAACCACACTTCTTCCCAATTTCTTCTCCAGGTTATGAGGAGAACAGAATATTTTAGCTGAGAAAGAAGCGGTTTTCTTTTCATCACACGTGCTTATCCAGAACTCTGGTCCCCAAGAACAGAGGAAGAACTGTATCTAGGAGAAGTCTCATAACTCTACAGGTAGCAAGAGTCTCTTCTGAAGAGTCCTACAACATTTTTCTCCAGAAAAAGAGAAAAAAGACAAAAAACACTACCTAAAAATAATGAGGCATTTCCAACCACTATCTATTTACAGTTGTATCTGCGGAACCTGTCTACCAAATTCAATTAGAGAACAGAGGTTTTCAGCTATAACGTTCCTTCAGCTTTTAATGAGGGAAAAACATGTAGACCTGAAAAACAGCTTTACTAGTGCAGACAGCTCATTTCCCCCTCAACAATATCCCAGGTATACTCTTTTTTCCCCTAAGGAATCAGGGAACGCAAACAGGAGAGAGCATTAGGAAGTCTCTATCTCCCAGAAAAGAGTCAGCTAGAGCTCAAAGGAGCTGTGTCATAGGGTACAAAAGCACTGGAAACAGCTCTCAACTATTTATTTTATCCATTGTTCTTGCGCTTTCTACTGTAGTGAGAGAAGATGAGCTGACACATGCTGGCAGAAGCATAATTCAATTATGGATTTAAAAAAAGACATTCAGGAAAGAATTTATCATGAGGACAACAAAAGTTACCAGCTCAGTGAAAACCAGATTAGAGTTAGGAATAACAAGAATGCATCTGTATTTTCTTCAGTTCTCTCTGTCACTTATTCCACCACACTATAAAGCTTGCCACCTACCTGTATTACAGCAGGTGGCTGAACAGTAGAAGTCACAGCATTTGTTGTTTGAGATAATGGTTTCACAGGAGTAGCTGCTACTTTCTTTAGTAACTGGGTGCCAGAGTTCTTAAAAAAAAAAAAAAGATTAAACACGTGCAGAGAACAGTTGTCAAACAAGTCAGTGATAAAACAGATGCTGAAGTTAGTACCTGCTGTTGTCTGATACAAACCAAGACACCCAATCTTACAGTAACAATACAGGCATCATTCACATAGCCCATATAGTTTAAACACTGTTCAAAGCAGCTATTTGTCTACCAATTTAATATTCAAGAACAGATTCAGAAACATTTAGACACAATGCCTAATCAGAACAAAACAGTTAAAGGATGAGCATGTTGGCGAGACCTATGCAGACGGTTACTTTTTTAATACCCGCTGCATGCTGACTACATTACAAGAGACAGAAGCAAAAAGCCAGCAGAGCTCAGGGAAGAAGGAACACCCTGGGGACATGGGAAAGGCCCTCAGCTTCACAGAAGTGTCCCACCAGATGATCGCAAGATCGCAGATACAAGCAGTAACCATTTAGGTAGTTTTTTTGATTTTGGGTTGCGTTTTTTTTTTTTTTTTTCTTAAAACCCTTTACATCATTGTCGGAGAGGAACTCCTTAATTTCAACTATACCATATATAACTGCTAGCAGTTTTTTCAAACTGCGAAAGCAAAGCACATAGTGATGTTTACTCGCAAAACCAAACACCATCATGCTGTTCAGAAAGCGTTCAAGTGCTTATTTAACCCTCCATAACTTATTTGCAAACCCTTTTATAACTACATAACGTACAGCTACGTCAAATTAAAGCTATGAGAGAAGTTACCTGTACAGCACATATTCTGATTGCAGGTGTGCTGGTCGGTACAGATGGTCTCATGCTTGTGTTATTTTGTGGCTGACTCTGTGCTCGTGCTATTGCTTGTTGAGATACTAGCATTAGTTGGCCATTACTGCTTCTGATAAGAACAGTTCCTGTTGGAGAAAAACATCCAGACTGTTAGAAATTAAGCGATATTATGGCTTTCCTATGCTCCTGTGGAAGAAATAACTAGACCACACTGATAAGATAATGTAATATTTAGTTTCTTCCAAGGAACAGCTGCCAAGAAATGTTAAGAGCTAAGCATACTTCAGCTTTACTCTACATTTTATGACAGAAAATAATTCCTGAAGTCAAGGGAAAAACTTTAACTAGACAGCCACATCGAAACACTATGTGTGTACAAGATGCAAATTGCAAAGCAGTTCATCATTTGAGTCAAAAAGACATTTTGGACATTAAAAAGGCAAACACACCACAGACACACACTCTGGGATTACTTTAACAGTAATTTCTTCAAGCAGTTCTTCAACCTGCAAAATTCATCACCCCTATCACAGTTGGCTGCCTCTATATATTTTCACTTTCTGAACATTTAGGCACATACTTACAGGTGAAGGTATGGTTTAGAGAAAACCTGCAATGGGAACTGAAGCCTGATTAATACCAGTTCACCTCCCTGTATCAAGACCATCCCCCTTGGTCAGAGGGCAGTGGTCTTCAATGAAAGCCAAGGCCACTTGGACATTTGAAGCTGTCCCTCGGTCAAGGGTCTGTCCAAAAGCATTAAAATGCATGGTTTTAATCAAAGCAGCTTACAGCCAAATAGGGAGATTCCAGACTCCTGGGAAAGGAAAAAAAAAAGGGGGGTAAAGGAAAAGAAAAAAAAAAAAGAGACTCTTCCGCCTTGTTTCCTTGCTTTTTTGTTTTCCTTTAAAAACTTACAGGAATGTCAGCCCACCACCATGATTCAACTCCTACCACCTTGCTCCTACCCCATCAGCTATAACGACAAACAGTTAAACAGTTAACGAACAATGACTATTTTTACTAAAGCTTTCAAATGAAAAACACCCTAAGGAGAATCAGTCACATGCCACATCACAGTCCCATCTCCCCTGCATTTGGAAACCATTCAGCTACCAATGCCTCCTCCTCCCTGGCCCCCTAAGGGCTAGGCTCTGGAAAACCCAGACATTTCCTCAGGGTCACGAATATAAAATGCCAGCTGGATCCCTGGTCTCAACAGCTTCAGATCCTTCACGGGAGCTACAGAGCACCCTACCTTTGCTAGTGCCTCACCTCCTTTACCTTCAACAGCAGCTGCTGCAGAGTCCACCACTAAAACCGCTGTCCTCAAACACCTCACTTAAAGGCCTTTCACATAAAAGAAAGGGGGAAGGTACAGGAGAAGGCCAGATACATAAATAAAAGTACCTCAACATTTTTGGAGGACTGCATTAAACTTTCTTGCAAGTTGTCCAATACCTGAAGAATCACAGATCTTCTATGCACACTTATGATCTTTCCTAGTGTAAAACAAGCCTGCATTGATGAGTGTTTTTACTACCTGGTTAGTCTGCAAGCTGTCAAAATATTGCTGTACAGTACAGCCTAAAACACTGCTTCTGTCTGAGTTTAAATGAATACAACAGGAAAAGCCATAAGCTCCGTGAGCTGGGGGTTTGAATAAAAAAAAAAAAACAAAAACCAAGCTGTAACTACATGCTTAGAAACAGCTTTTTCTCCTCCACATCTAAAAGCATAAGAGGATATTGCAAGACAACACAAAACTTTGTATAAAATTCTGTAACATCAACACATTGCCATTTACACAGCACACACAGAGACTGCAAGAGTAGCATCTAGAGCGATTCACGCCTTTCTCAAGCAGCCTTTACTACATGGGGCAGATGCACAGGACAGTTGCATATCCAGAAAAATACTGCTACTCCATCTGACAACTCAGCTTTCTCCTCCTCCACTGAAGTCTTGACTAGAATTATATTTAGGTACAGATGGATCTTTTAATTTAATCAATGAATACTCGGAATCATAGAAAACATATCAAATTTCTCATTTTCTTTTCATGCCATCTTATTTAGACAGGGATCCACGGCATACAATTTATCGTCAAAAAAGGGCATTTTTTTCCTTGTTCACATCACATGCTTATGCAGATTCTAAGGCAAGAGAGAAAGCTGACAATACAACACGTTTTGATAGCAACAGCATTTCTCTCTGCTCTAGGTTTACACTCAGGATGGCAGAAGTGTTGCTACTGGAGGCTTTTCTTTTCTAAGCTTGCTTAAAAATGTCATTGGTAGCTCTACTCTTTGAAAAGGCACATATAAATTTATCATTTAATTCCTTTAGAGATTGGGAATGCATTAAGTGGTTTGTTTTCATGTATTTGGGTATTTTGTCACTACTCATTACGTTTGTCTTTTAAGCCAAACTGTCAGAAGCACAATTTCTACTTCTCTGAATCATACTGCATACCAGAAACATCATTGTTACCAGTCAACTCGATTATAGGGTTGGCTGGGGCTTTTTTTGCACTACTGCTCTGAAGTTTCAGTTAGCATTTGCCAGAGATGGAGACCCTGCCTGAAGAGTATCCCATCCTCCAGTCACTTGAACAGGGAGAGTTTCCAGCAGACTCCACTTGACAGGAAATTAACTCAAGAGCAACACAGCTAGCAAGCTTATGCAAACACAATACAGATCATATGCAAATTCATGAACATCTAAAAGAGTAAACAAAAAACAACTACCACAAATATTAACAAGTCCCAGTAGCCCTTTCACATTTGACCATGACTACAATGATCCCCAACAGCACTGTACCCTGAAACATAAATCAGTTTTCCTCCTAGTAACAGGATTAACCAGTACAAAGATAGCCATACTTCATCAGAACACTGTAAAATAACTTTAGGCTTATTCTTGGTGAGAACATCCACAGAGGAAGTCACCTAAGGCCACTCCAGTGGTCATAGCCTTGATTGGAACATATGACTAAGATGACGCCTGTTTACTTCCATGTAAGTTATGGTAAGAACCTGTGCCACTTAGAACAAACATTAATTTCCCTATATTTGTTCCATTTGGCAGAATTTTTAATGTGGTGGTAGCCTTTTCATGGCAGCAGCTTTTTGTGATGGCTAACAAAATTAGAACTCCAAAACCAACAAAACCAATATTATGGTAATCTACTAACTACTGCTTTTGTAAGCTTAATACTATAACTGCCTGATGCTAGCACAAATAAAGCTGAAGGCAAATTTGAAACAACTGTCATAGCTACAGATCCATATAGTGAAGAGCCACAAGACATCACTTCAAACATGAAACACAGTTCTGGGCAGTTACAACCTAATGTCACAAAGTGACAGTAAACTGACACGTGGATTATCTGAAACAGTTTGAAAGCTTTTGAGAAGGGCATTTATTTTTCACTTCCGGTTGCCACAATTTACTTGCACTTTTTCACCACTCAAAAATACCCCCAATCTTTTGATACTTCCTTTCTGCCTTGAAACAAAAGCAATGACCCAACACTGAAGTCAACAGTGCAGGCTCCAAGAGGAGACACAGGAGGTGTCTTCTGCCAGAAGAAAAGGTTCCACGGCACTCAAAACCAATGCCTGAAGTGTCATACACCATGTACAGCTGCACAAGTGTGAAATGAGGGAACAGCAGGTGATGGTAACCTTGAAGTTCTCAATAGAAAGGCCATGTAAACAGACTCGTGCAGCTACCAAGATGCTACTATCAGAAATGAAGACGATAAGTGCAAGAATCCACATTCTTCACTTGGGGGGGCGGGCAGGGGGGAGAGATAATATTTCTTATGAAAAGCTGTTTTCACATTCACTAGAAGGCAATTTTTGCCAAACTAAATGTGAAAACACATCAGGTCTCGCAGTCATTGCAACTCCACAGGAAAATGGTGGTGGGAGGGAACCTCTGAACAGCTGAAACAGTGAAGTTTCAGCTAACACCGCTCAGCACAGCATTTAAAAACAGAGAAGATACCTGCAATCTCTGACCAAAATATCAGCACCAACTGTAGTTACTGAACAGTAATCAGGCATCTTTGTAACACCAAAGGTGCCCTCTTTTGGGCAGCACTTCCAAGAAAGCACTGTTTACAGGATACACAGTTTGGTAGTTTTACTGAAGTTGTTTCAGAGAGCAGGAAAGACTTTCTCACCACTCGCGCACTTTGACAGTAAGAGTAAGGCACAATCCCTTTGGGGCTACAAGGCTGTTCCTATTTTCAGATCACAAACAGAAAACCTAAGCGACCAGTTACCAGCAAGAATTAGTACTTACATGCTTCACTGGAGGACTCAGGTGTCTCTTGCAGATTAACAGACAGACCTTTTTACAATGAATTGAGACTTCTCTCTCTAGAATTCTGCCTGTCCTGCCAAAAAAATCCTTTGGAAAGTTATTTATTTTTCTTGACTGCCAGAGAAGGCAGTTAAAATAAAACCAGCCATTTCAGCCCTTTGTTCCCTGCACACCTTCCTTCGGCTGCAATCCTGCAGGAAGGCCAGAGTGGAAGGAGCCAACAACTGAAACCCAGCTTGGCTTCCTCCAAAACTACACAGAAGGAGCCACACTATAGCTTCTCACCTCGAAGACGTCTCATTGAGATCTACACCCTTTCTCTCCAGTGACCTGCCTTCTCCTGGAACAGGGGCTCCAGGAACCATGCCTCCAAAAAGACCGCCCAGCATCACTCCTGCAAAGCTCAGGCAGCTACCACCCAGAACAGCCTCTACTTAGGCACGCCAACAGCACGTGCCATGGGAAACCAGAGGCCTTCTATTAAATTTCCATTTGCTGCTCAAACCTGAGATACCTCCGCTGTAGTTTTTTGCTGTCCCAGCACCACCAGCCAAGGAAATACAGCTTTTTCTGAACTTGGTTATAACACACTTCAAATTTTCTAAGCTGTAGCTGTGTTTAGCATCCAACCCAGGAATGGAGAAACACAGGTTAGCAGGAGGAGCAGCTTCCAGATACCTCTTCATTGTAACTACAGAGAACCAAAAACTCAGAGACATGAACAAGATGCTGTGGGATCATGGCAGAAATCTGTTTATGCCACTGTACGTAAGGCCACCTGCATGGGCTTCACAGTATTTCAAGGAATAGTATTAAGAAAACCGCACTGGTGTTAACGTAAAGCTGTGCTGCCAACTGAAGCTCAGGGTTTCACCCAGCAGCACTGAACACCAATGTATGCTAAGAGCATCCCACCACAAAGGCAACTTCCACCATTAAATTTCTACCACATAAGACAAGCCCAAGGCCATTTCTTAAGGGAAACATCCAGAAGGAATTTCCTGAGATGAAACAGCCAGCAGGTATGCTCCGGTGGAGACACACCATATAGAATCATAGAACAGTTTGGGTTAGAAGGGACCTTTAAAGGTCATCTAGGCCAACCTCCCTGCCACGGGCAGGGACATCTTCAACTAGATCAGGTTGGATAGGGCTCTGAGCAACCTGGCCTTTAATGTTTCCAGGGATGGGGCATCCACCACCTCTCTGGGCAACCTGTGCCAGTGTTTCACCACCCTGTTACACGTGAAACTGACGTTGTCAAGTTAAGCCACCACTTTGATTACATGGTTTCCAACACAACTGCTCAACACAACGGCTCTTTGGAACTGCTGGCTGGGGAGCAACATGAGGAAATGCAAGGAAGTCTCTTGCTCCTAAAATAAAATACAAGCAAGAACCAACTGCATTAGATCCAACTAATTTAAGAGAACAC